TTTTTTTTTTGGTCTTTTTGAGACAGTGTCTTGCTAAGCAGTTCAGACTGGCCTTGAGCTCACTTTGTAGCCCAGGCTGACCTCAAACTCGTAATGATCCTCCTGCCTCAGCCTCCCAAGTACTGGGATTACAGGCATGCACCACCATGCCCGGCCCTTTTTTGTATTTTTTATTTTTTTCGGGTGGGGGGGGGACCGGGAATCGAACTCAGGACCTTGTGCTTGCCAGGCAGGCACTGTGCTGCTGAGCTATATCCCTGGCCCTGTATTTTTGATTCTTGAAACATGATGTCCCTACATCTCCAGCTTGCCTGGGCTGGGCTTAAACTTGCAATCCTCCTGCCTCAGCCTCCCCAGGGGGCTGGGATCACAGGTGTGCGCCATGACTTCCAGCGTCATTTGCATCCTTAGATACCCACAGAATGAAAAATCACCTGATTCACAAACTTTTCAAGTAATGAAATGGCCATACACACTATATTTAATAAATTGACAACGAATTACTGTGATAACATACATTAACAATCAATGACACTTTATAGGCATTTGATGAAGCATTTGCTAATTTGAATTATTCTGTCATTTTGCACTTTGGAGCGGAGACTTAGATTTAAACACTTATTTAGGTCCCGAAGAACCTCGGACACTGTGGGCTGCCCCTCAGGGACTACCTTACCCGAAAGACAAGTGATCCCATTTTAGCACCTCTCCTCTGGTTACCCAGGAGGCTGAGGCAGGAGTATCCAAAGTTCTCGAAAGCAACTCAGTGAGAAAAATTTTAAAGGGGAGGAAAGAAAGGAAGAAAGCTCTCTTCCACGCCCTTCACGGGCTGTGCAGGAAAAAGACCCAGAGGCAGGAGAACCCCTTGGTGGTGGCTGACGCATGCAGGCGGTGTCACTGTGGGAAGCGGACTGGCACCAGATGCCTCCTGATCCCCAGCCTGGCCCCGGGACATCACACCGCCCAGCGCCTGACACACAACCTCAGTCTATGACCTGTAGCCTCACAGGGTCACATCCCAGGGTTCGCCACCAGGAGGTGAGCGAGAGCCCTGAGGGGTGCAGGCCCCAGGGCTCTAAACTGAGGACTACTCAACCCTCTGCTGTCTGTGAGAAGCTCGCTTTACTTTAAAATTGTTTATTATTATCTTTCAGTACTGGGGATTGAATCTAGGGACCCTCTACCACTGAGCTACATCCCAAGTGCTTTTTATTGTTTTGAGACAGGGTCTAGCTAATTTGCCCCAGGCAGGCTTGGAAACTGTCGATCCTCCTGCTT